CTCAGTAGATCGGTGAAATTTCTGCAGAAATTGTAGAATTTCGTTGATGTTTTTTCTTTAATTTCTTCGATTGTGTGTAATTGAGTTGAATTTGATATTGTTCACCAATGGCGGATAAAACTAAGATCGATTACACACATCCTTTGTTCCTACAACCCTCCGAAACTCCAGGATTGGTGTTGATTCCAATCTAGCTCACAGGTTCTGAGAATTAAGGCTTGTGGAGTAGATCCATGCGGCTTGCATTTTAGGCAAAGAGCAAATTAGGGTTCATCAATGGAACATGCATTAAGGCATCATTTGAAGATGATCTCCATGAGGAATGAAAGACATGCAATGCAATAGTGCATTTATGGATTATGAAATCTGTCTCGAAAGATCTATTGAGTGGAATCATTTATGCATCAAATGCACATGCTGTGTGGGAGGATCTTAAGGAACGTTTTGATAAGGTGAATCGAGTGAGAACTTTTCAGTTACACAGAGGGATCTCGAGACTGTCACATGGATCTGACTCTGTAGCTGTGTACTTCACAAAATTGAAGGAGCTATGGGCAGAGTATAATGTGTTGGTACCATCCCCAAACTGTGGATGTGTGAAATCGAAGGAGTATGTAGTGCACTTACATCAACAGAGGTTGATGCAGTTTTTGGATGGCTTGAATGATACATATGATCAAGCTAGGAGGTAGATTTTAATGAAAACAACTAAGCCAACTCTTAATCAAGCATATGCTATGATCACAAGATGAAAGTCAGCAGTCTATGGGTGGTAGTGCAATGGCAGAAAAGGTGGATCTTATGGCAATGCAAGCAGGAAGAGGCCAAGAATTCCAAGGAAAGAAACAATTCCTAGAGTGTGAACATTGCCATATGAAAGGCCACACTAAGGAAAATTTGTGAAGACTCGATAAGTCATTTAGAGTTTTAACCCTTAGTTTTATATTTCAAAACCTCAAATAGCTCCTTTTAGCCTTTCTCAATTTGCGTGCGCAGTACGTGTCTTCTTCTGGAAGGTTTTATGTGAAAAAACTGATTAAAGTGTGAAATCATGACTTAAAAGTTACTTGAGTTGACTTCGGTCAATGTTTTGAGCAAACGGATCCAGATCCATATTTTAGTAGTCCCGATGGGTCCGTATCGTGATTTGGGACTTGGACGTATACCCGAAATCAAATTCGGAGGTCCCTAGCTTGATTTATAGTAATTTGTTGAATATTTGAAATTTAAAGGTTTAAAGAATTTATAAATTCTACCGAAGTTTGACTTTATTGCTACCGGGTCCGGATTTTGGTTCAGTTCATTACTGTGTTTATGATTTTTCTGTAAAATTTGGTGCAAAACGGAGACATGATTCGGACGTCTAGTTGTTAAAATGAAAATTCTTAAGTTTTATTGAAAAATTCATTCGTTTTGGTATCTGATTCATAGTTCTAGGTGTTATGTGTTTTGATCGCGCGAGCGAGTTCATATAATATTTTCGGACTTGTGTGCATATTTGGTTTGGAGCACTGAGGACTCGGGTGAGTTTCAGATAGGCTACGGGTATTTCGGACTTAGAAAATTCTGGTTTTCTTTCGCCTATGGTGATTTCTTCTTCGCGATCGCAAAGAGTAAACTGGGCTGGGGCGGATTTCCTTAATCGCGAACGCGATAGCTTGGTTGCAAATGTGGAGCAATGGTGGACTTACCCTTCGCGGACGCAACTAGCTTCTCGCGAATGCATAGGCTTTGGACCTCGGAAAGGGAACAGTGCTTTCTTCTACGCGAACGCGAGAAACAGCTCGCGAATGCGAAGGCCTGGGGGAACAGCCTTCACGAACGCGGCAGGTCCTTCGCGAACGCGATGAAGATCTGACGCACATACCTTAAAACATTTCAAAAACGGGATTTCACCTATTTTTCGCCATCTTTCCATTAGAGCTCGGCCTAGAGGCGATTTTGAAGAGAAAATTCATCACCAATTTATAGGTTAGTATACTTTAACTTATTTTCTTCCATTTCTAAAATCACCCATTAATGTTTAGCCATAATCTTTGTTCTTCCATGATAGAAAACTAGGGATTTATGAAGAATNGAATGGGTAAATGGGTTTTGGTCCGAATCTCGGGTTTTGACCAAGCGAGCACGAGGTTGGATTTTTTTTGACTTTTTGGGAAAAGTGTAAAAATCCTAACTTTATGCGTTGTAATTGATTCCCTTGGTATTATTTGTTAATGTCGAGTCGATTTTGGTTAGATACGATTGGTTTGGAGGCAGATTCTAGAGGAAAGGCCCCGATAGAGCTCTGAGTTAATTGCGAAGTGAGGTAAGTGTCGTGGTTAACCTTGACTTGAGGGATTAGGACTTGTTTGCCTATTTGCTACGTGTTTAAATATTTGGGTACACCGTATATGTGAGTTGACGAGTACTTATGCGTTCTTGTTGGGTTAAAGTATGTGGGTGAAACTTGTTTCCTTGTAATTTATTGCCTACTTTACTTATGATACCCATGCTTAGATTAGTTTATTTCTAATTTGATATTTCTTTCCGCATTATGAATTAATTGTGATGGTCGAGTATATTTGGAAGTTGAGGTTTGGCATCTTGGATCCATTATTGACGTAAGGTTTACTATTGCATTCTCTATCTCCCAAAATTTTATATTCATTATCACATGGTAAGGAAGAGTGTAAAAGCACGAAGAGTGATGTCGTGCCGTTTATTGCTTCATTTATTGATTAATACCTAGTGAGGAAGAGATTAAAATTTCGAAGGGTGATGCCGTGCCGTATTTATCGTTTCATGGTGAGGTTGAGAGTAAAAGCACGAAGGGTGATGTCGTGCCATTATTATCATTTCATGGTAAGGTTGAGAGTAAAAGCGCGATGAGTGATTCCGTACCATCTTTATTCATTATGTTTTTCCGTTTTTATTGGTTGATGATTATTTGACTGTTTTATGTTATCATTCATGTTGTAGTTATCGTATCTTGTTCCCCTTTCGCATGTCCCCTCCCAATCGTACATATTAAATCTTTATTTGCTACTATGTTGCACATATATCTACATTTGTACAAGTTTAATTATGTGAGTGTCCTATCATAGCCTCGTCACTACTCGAAGTTAGGCTCGGCACTGACGGAGTACATTGGGTCGGTTGTACTGATACTATACTTTGCACTTCTTGTGCATATTTTGGTACTGGTCCCAACTGTACGTGAGGTGCATCAACTCAGATTATCACATTTGGAGACTAGAGGTAGATCTGCTGGCGTTCACAGACCTTGAAGTCCCTTTCCTCTTCCCTTATTTACTATTCATTTCATTCGAAATAATTATATTTATTTTAGACTCTATTTATAGAACTTCTAGTAGCTTGTGACTTGTAACTCTAGATCCGGATTGTACTTAGATATGTTGGTTATTATGCCACTTCGTACTTCATTTTAGCTTCATTTAAGTTTAATTGGTTTAATGATTTGAATTATTTAAAAATTGGCTTAAGAATTTCTCTAACATTAGCTTGCCTAGCAAGTGAAATGTTAGGCGCCATCACAGTCCCGAAGGTGGAAATTTTGGGTCGTGACAAAATTGCTTCAAAATCATTGGATATCTTGAAGATTTCAGAGGAAAGACGGGGAATCAAGGCAGATATTATAGACCTAAAGGACCTTTTACTGCAGTTAACAATGTAAAAGGACCAACATCCTCTAATTCTCAAGGAACATCACATCATAAATGAGATTTCTTCTTCACTGAGGCACAATATCAATAGATTCTACACTTGCTCAAGAAGGATGCACAAAATGACAATCAGACACAAGCTAACATGGCAAGCAATATTATGTCTCTTACATCAAATGTTTATAATGATAACTTGATAGTGGATTCAGGGGCCACTAACTAGGGACTTACAATGTGGTGCTCTTTTTCTGCCCAAACGGTGTGTCTTTCATGACCTTTACAGTAGTAGGGTGAAGGGGATTGGTAAGAAAACTGGTGGACTTTATCTTCTGAGGGGAAGAGGAACATGATAGTTAGAAGTTGCTCTTATCAACACATTGGAGAAGAGTGAAGTTTCAGGAGAACTTTGGCACAGGAGATTAGGACATCCTTCATTACCAGTGATACAATATGCTTCAGTCTTGCATAATAAAGTAGACAATACAATACAAAATAAATGTTCCATTTGTCCCTTGGCTAAACAATGTAGATTGGTTTTTTCTATTAGTGAGCACCTAAGTACAAAACTATTTCAACTTGTTCACATGGATGTATGGTGACCTTATAAAGTTGCTACACATGACAATAAATATTACTTCCTTACAGTGGTAGATGATTACACTAGATCAACTTGGATTTTTATAATGCAATTGAAAAGTGAAACCATTATATTTTTGAACCAGTTCTTCTGTATGGTTAAGACATAGTTCAACACATGCATTAAAGTGATTAGAACAGACAATGGTAGAGAGTTCTTTAATCAAAATTGTAGTGAGTTCTTACAGGGTCATGAAGTAATCCACTAGAGTAGCTGTGTGCATACCCCACAATAAAATAGGGTGAGTGAGAGAAAACACATGCACATCTTAGACACTGCTAGAGCACTAAAATTCCAAGCTGGGGTACCAAGAAGATTTTGGGGAGAATGTATTCAAACAACTGTTTATCTTATAAACAGAGTTCCTACTAGAGTGCTAGGTGGGAGAGTCATTTTGAATTGTTATATGGAAGGCCACCTTCCCTAGCACATCTGAGAACCTTTGGATATTTGTGCTATGCTACAAATGTGGTTAAGGAAGACAAGTTTGGTCCAAGAGCTAAGGAAGCAGTCCTAATGGATATTCCACCACTCAGAAGGGGTATAGATTATTTGACAAGGCTACTAACTCTTTCTTTGTTAGCAAAGATGTCTTGTTCAGGGAATCTGTGTTTCCTTTTATCACAACACAACATCAACAAGTCTCATAACCCATTGTAGATATTTTTGAATCCCAACAACAAGGAGAACTGCACACCATGGAGTCAGTAGGATTAGTAAATATCATTGAACCCGAGGAGCATGCAGATGCAGGTTCACTTGGTGCAACAGATCGAGTAACATCTGATTCAGATACTCATGAAGGTGTGGCTGATCAAACAGATATATCAGATGCACCAGATGCAACTGACCCAACAGATACACCAGCTACAACAATTGATCACACAGTTGCACCAGATATAACTGATCAGGAAAGTATACGCGATAGGGTTACTCCAACATTTCAGGAACAGACTGCTCCAACATCACTTCCTATTGACTCTACAATTCATGTTTTGCTCACCAGGCAATCAACTTGAACTAAGTATCCTCAAATCTGGATGTAAGACTATGTTGTTGCCACCAAACAAGACTCACATTGCCTTTACCCTATTTCCAACTTCTTGTCTTATGATAGTGTCACAAATAAGTACAAAGACTACATAAGGGCCTTCTCCATAACCAAAGAACCACAAAACTTCAGAGAATCAGTGCAGGATGACAGATGGATTCAAGTCATGAAATAAGAGATTGAGGCATTGAAGGACAACAAGACATGGGAAGTAGTGGACCTGCCTCCTAAGAAATCATCTATAGGGTCAAAATGGGTTTACAAGATCAAGTACAAATCCAACAAAGAGGTGAAAAAATTTAAGACTCGCTTGGTTGCTAAGGGATATAATCAATAAGAGGGCCTAAGACTATCATGAAACTTTTTCACCAGTCGCAAAGATGGCAGTCAGGTCATTAATAGCATTAACTGCTTCTAAAGATTGAGGCCTTTATCAAATGGATGTATTCAATGCTTTCTTACAAGGATACCTATATGAAGAGGTCTATATGGATTTGCCTTAAGGTTTTCAAAGATAGAGGGAGAAAAAGGTCTGTAGGTTGTTGAAGTCCCTATATGGAGTTAAACAAGCATCAAGGCAGTAGAATCTTAAACTTACAGAAGCCTTACTTAGTGCTGGCTTCAGTCAAAGTGTTTATGACTACTCCTTGTTCACTAAGAAATCTGGGAATGAGATTGTCATTATCCTAATCCATGTGGATGATTTACTGTTGACTGTAAGCAGTATGGAGCTCATTAATGAAGCCAAGTCAGTATTACATCAGAAGTTTAAGGTGAAAGATTTAGGTGAACTAAGATACTGTCTGGGCATTGAAGTCTTGAGGTCTCAGCAAGGAATCCTCCTTAATGAGAGGAAATACACCATAGTGCTCATCTCAAAGATAGGCTTAAGTGGAGCAAAACCTGTTATTACACCCCTAGAACTCAATCAGAAGCTTACTTCATTTGAATATGATAAGGGGATTGGAAATAAAGTATCTGATTCTTTGGTAGATGTCACATGCTACCAAAAGCCGATAGGGAAACTCCTGTACCTTACAGTCACCAGACCAAACATCAATTATGCACTACAGATTTTGAGTCAATCCATGAAGACTCCAAAAGGATCCCATGTGGATGCAGCCACTCATGTAGTGAGATATCTCAAGCAGGCACTAGGTATGGGAGTGATCATCAGAAGAGGACCAGCTGATGCCTTGATTGGCTTTTGTGATTCAAACTGGGCAGCATGTCCAATAAGCAGAAGGCCTGTCAGTGGTTACCTTTGTTAAGTTTGGTGATTCCCTAATATCTTGGAGGTCAAAGAAGCAACACAGTTCTAGTATATTATACTGGAGCCAGCAAAGTATATCGGTCCAGCATAATATACTGGAAGTTCATACACAGGTGCACCGAACTCCAGTATATTATGCTGGACCGGTCTCTATTGCAGCAAAATAGTGGCTATTTTTCAATGACTTGGCAAACGCCAGCTATTTTTGAATGACCAGTCCGAAAATTGACTAGCCCGTGCTATTTTGACAATTATCCCTGCCTCAATAGAAATGGCCAGACTCTGACATAATTAGGTTGGCTAAATTTGTGGATGCAGAATAAACAAGCTTCGAAAATTATGAGAATAACATGGGTATATTTTGGAAATAATTAGGCAAAGTTATAGCCTTTCCCTGTGATTGTGCACAAGAATCGCTGCTTTAATAATGACAAAGAGACTTTCAACTAGTAAGTTGCTTTTGGCATGCCCCAGTTCTCTTAAGCATGGAAATAAAAGTAGCCACCAGATTAATTATGTCATATTTACCATCACAAGGAAGATGGAGAACACTCTGCTCTCATAATCGACTTCCGTCAAATCAAGCACGTCCTAATTGTGATATTTTCTCCTTTCTCTGTTTGATTAGGAAATCAATCTTTTGAATTCTAGAAGTGAATATCTTTTTCGTAACAAAATACTGCTTTTAAATTGTTGAAAAATATGAATCCATAACACAATGAAAGAAGAACACAAAAGATCAAGGCCTAAAACACGTTAAAGAACACCTTCCTAGAATGGATATTTACTTCTTCTACTTCGCGAGATTGCTCTAAGATTGAATATAAACAATTTTATGGATATGCAAATCTTTTACAACAACAACAAAATACCTAGTATATTCCTGCAGTATGAGTTCTGGAAAAAGTAATATATATGCAGACCTTACCTCTACCATGAAAAGACAGAGATATTATTTTGCGATAGTTGACACGTCTAGATAGAAAAGCAAAGAAGTATTTTATGGCTTTTAAGTGTATAACTTGGAGAAGAAAAAAAGAATTTGAAGGAGAATCAAATCTAGAAACAACAAGTATAGTGAAGAAAAAGACCAACTTAAAACACATTGTTAGAATCATGCGCAGAAGCAGTGAGTAGAGGGTCTATAATTTGGGAAAATAGCTCAACTAATTAACTGGGCATAAACAACCGACTATATACATATATCTAACAATTCGGTACTAACTTCCTAAAATAACTCTAACACACTATAACTTTTAATATGTACACTTAGTCCCCATAGTACTAACTAACTTCTATATACACCAATACTCCCCTTTAAGCTGAAGGGTATAAAATATTTAACACACCAAGCATGCTAAGTAGAAACTGATGATGAGGTGATACCAAGCCTTTGGTGAGTATGTCTGCTTGTTGATTTCTTGTGGAGATGTACTGTATTTGTAAGATCCCTTGTTTGAGCTTCTCCCTGATGAAGTGACAATCTATTTCAATGTGCTTTGTGCGTTCATAAAAGATGGGATTAGCATCTATTTGTATTGCTGCTTTACTATTTGAAAATTAGATAACTGGCTGGTGAATTAGAGTCCATAGTTCTGCAAACAGTCCTCTTAACTACACTATCTCAGCTACTGCGGATGTCATACTTCTGTATTCAGTTTGAACAGTGTTTTCGTTCAGATTTATCTTTACATGAAAAATGGCTAAATTTCAATGACTTTTGAAACTGTGACTATTTTTGAATGACCACTTATAAATCTGACTATTTTTAAATTTCTCCCGGGATAATTGTTTGAAGATAGAATTGAATGGCCCAAAAAGGAATGTCAGCCTTAGTAAAACCCATGGGCCTTTAAATTTTTCTCGTACTTTGCAAGCCTGTAATGGATCATTTTTATTTGAAGAATTGACCTAAATAGCTACACTTACAATCGCTTAAATTAAAAATAGCCAGGAGATGTATAATGTGTGTGTATATATATAATTAGAACGCGCACAAATTACTCTACAACTCAAACCAGGTGATCCAATTCTGCAATAATTTGAGAAGGAGAAATATCAAAAATTCAGGAAGTCTTCTTATATGGATGAAATCTTCTTACAACAAAGAAGTAAGGCAACATGGCTAAGACTAGGTGATGATAACACAAGATATTTTTACTCAATTATCAAGTATAAAAGACTGCAGCAGACAATTACTCAACTTGTGGGTAAGGTATGAAGTGTTACAAACTTATCCTAAAGCAATAGCAACAATTTTGGTAGACCTCTATAAAGATTTATTGGGGAAAAAAGAGAGCCAAAAAATTAGAGCCTTCAGGAATTTCCTCCACAATAGTCATAGATTAACACTGGCACAAGAATTGGAACTGGTGTAGCCTTTCAATGAGAAGGAAGTGAAGGAAGCTATGTTTAGTATAGGGAGTAACAAAAGCCCAGGACCTGATGGTTACAACAGCGACTTCTTCAAAGCTACATGGAGCATCATATATAGGAGATGTTATTACAATGGCAATATTATAATTTTTTCACAACGGGGAGCTGCTCAAGCAACTAAATGCAACAATGATTACCCTGATCCCTAAAGTTGATGTGCCTCAGAAAGCTGCTCAATTTAGACCCATAGCTTGTTGTAATATGCTATACAAATGCTTTTCTAAGCTGATATGTAAGAGGTTGAGGAAAGCAATAGCCCCCTAGTTGCAGAAAACCATGCATCATTTGTAGAGGGGAGGTCATTGCTGCACAATGTCCTCATTTGTCATGATTTCCTCAAGCACCACATCATGAAGACCATACCTAGATGCTTGATGAAAATTGAAATTAGGAAAGCATATGATATGATAAGCTGGGAATTCATTGAAGAGGCTTTAAGAGGATTTGGGTTTCCTCAATACTTTGTTCAACTGATAGTGACATGCATCACATCCACTAAATTTACTATTAAGGTGAATGGAGAGGGCATTGCTACTTTGCAGGTAAAAGAGGATTAAGACAGGGTGATCTCATGTCTCTTCTTGTTTTTGTACTGGTAATGGAGTACTTATCCAGAACTCTGAAAAGGATGAGTGAGCTACTTGATTTTAAATGGCATCCTATGTGTAAAACTACCAAATTGACACATTTGATCTTTTCTGATAATTTGATGATATCTTGCATAGGTGATATCAGTTCTGTTACTAGAGTGAAAGAAGCACTTGATCACTTTAGTGAGGTTACGGGTTTGATAGCTAATCAGAAAAAATCCAACATGTTTGTGGCATGTGTAGATGAAGATACAAATGAGCAACTGCTGAATATTACAGGGTTCACATTGGGGGCACTACCAATCAAATATCTAGGGCTGCCACTCTCCTAAAAAAAATGGAGCAAGATGGAATGCCATCAACTTGTAGAGAAAATCACCTCGAGAATCAACAATGCTTATTCTAAGAATCTGTCATATGTATGAAGATTGCAAATCATTACTGCAATGCTGTTTCAGTGTATAACTTCTGGGGGGGGGGACTTATATAGCCTCAAAGTGTATTGAAAGAGGTGGATAGAAGATGTAGAGACTATCTTTGAGGAAGCTAAGAGGAGAAAAATAAGTGGCACTAGTATCTTGGGAGAAGCTATGCATCCCTAAGAAATATGGTGGTCTAAACATCAAAAGCTGTAGGAAATGGAATGTGGCTTCAGTTGGAAGTTGATATGACAACTCGCAAAGAAGGAGGATATATTATGGATTAGATGGGTTCATGGCCTTTATATGAGAGGAGACCAGAACATATGGACTCACAAGCCACCAGCTGATTGTAGCTGGTATTGGAGTAAACTGAATTCAATCAAGACAGAGATGATAGATTGGTATAACAATGGTACTTACTGCTTGTCACCTAATGGTAGATACTCTATCACACGAAGCTACAATACTATGCAGGGAGACTTGCATAAACTGGAAGTAGCATATTTAATTTGGAGTTCTATAATGCTTCCTAGGCACAAGATTATAGTATGGCTAGCTAATCAGGAGAGATTACTGACAAAGGAGATATTAGCAAAACTGCACACTACTAAAAATCACTTATTTACCGACGCAAATTATTGACGGACGTCCCTTGGTAATAAGGCTTTACCGACGGAAGTCCATCGGTAAGTGGTTGGTAGGTAAATCCTTCCTAGGTAAAATAAACTGACAGAATCCGTCGGTAATTACCGATGGACCCCATCGGAAAACCATCGGTACATTTTTGACAATAGTTGTCAAATAATTTTACTTACTGACGGATATCCGTCGATATATAGGAGTATTAATAATATCAATACCGACGAATATCCGTCGGTAAATGAAAAATAATTATTTAATAATACCGACGGACACCATCGGTAAGCTTAAAATTTTAATTTAGTAATTTAAAAATTAAAAATATGAATAAATTCATATTCCGATGGATATTCATCGGTATTTTCAATAAAATTTGAAAATTTGGTTCAAGACTACCGACAGACTCCCTCGCTAATTAAGAATGTTGGATTGAAAATGAATAATTGTTCCGACGGACTCTGTCGGTAAGTCCCTCGATAAATCTGGTATATTTTTACCAGGGAATGCCTATTTTTTGCTGCACCACCTGCCAGCCAGAATATTACAATAGACCTGCCAGCCAAAACATTACAATAGAAACAAAAATGCAACCACGATAAAACTGAACTTAACAATAACAAAACTTTATAGACTATCCAAACATCGAAATTATCCCATCAAACATCAAAACTATCCAACCAAACTTCAAAATGTAACATTCAAAGTTAACATCAAACTAAACAACAATCCAACCAAACATAAAATCACTCCTCGTCTTCGGATTCCCCTTCATCTTCTTCATCATTTATATTATTTCCATCACTTTCATCTCCTTCATGAATGTGGCTTTTTGGCGGAGAGCGGGGCAGACCGATTAAGTGGTTCACTTGAGCCTTGAGGGAGTCGATGTCATTCCTAAGTGCATTTCTAAG